AGGCTGGTCTTCAGCACAGTGGTAGGGTGTGTGCACAGACAGAGCCAAGTCTCTCGGGACAGTTTGTCCACCGGTAGCAGGTCTTTGATGCTGGGGAGACCAGGGTCACTCATGAACTGCAGGACTGAGGAGGGATAAAATGAGATGTCTGGGTTGCGATGGCAGAAGGAGCACTTCTCTGTAGCATTAACTTTCTGCCAAGGCGGAAGAAACCCATGAAAGGAACGATGCCCATGAAACGTCCCATGGCAGGCCTGTGGTTTTAGGGGAGGTCGCTGCTTGTGGGGCTGGCAGAAAAAAGGTGAGCTGGGGACTGCGGATGCAGAATCCCACAGGAGAAACACGATGAGGTGAAGATGCAGATCGGACATGGAGGAAACTACTCAGTCAGAGACTCCTTGGTCACACAGTTGAAAATGGGGGACTGGAATGGAGCAAGCCACAATCCATCTATACGTACATAATCACACACTCAGGACCTGTCTCACAGCTCCACTCACATGTAATGGCAAAAAAGCCCTTTGTACTCAGGTAACAGAACATACGAATGCTCACTGAGTGAACGTATATGTTCATTATTATTTGGAAATAGGAACTATTGTTTTAAGTTCTGCTTTGCTTAATTATTCATCATTTACTATGTAAATTATGCATGAAAACCTCAAGTATTTCTGAGTTTTCTTTAGGCAAGGCAGACTCCAAGAAAGTTATGTAGTGAGGTGTCTCTTCCTCCCATTAGTCATAAGGGAAACATAAATTACAATTCAGCTGCCTTTTTACACAATGATTTAAAGTCGATTGAGTACAATTACTTCACACTCAGCATACTCACTGCAGTATAAAACTTTATCGTCCCCACAAAGAAAAGGCATCATAGCACTTTGCAGAACAACAGTATTACTAAACATTTCTGATGAAGCTTTTTTTTTTTTTTTTTTGAAAATGTTTTACCCTTCAGTTCACAAATTACTTTGGCAGTGATTTGGGAAAGCACTTAATTCGAGCTAATGTTCTTCCTTGAACAAGGACTTTCCTTAAGTGCTTTACTGAGCAGAATCTCGTTCTGTTTATCTGTCCATTTATCTGAATTTAAAGTATGGATTATTTTGGTATCTTAAAACATTTAAATACAAAACAGTGAAAGAGTGGCTTATACTTGACCTTCCCTCATTCTCCATCACAACATCTAAGCTTTCCAGCACATCCCTACCCCATCTTTGTCACACTTGCTGGACAAGGCAGCACATGCTGTGGTCATACAGCAATTATACGTGTACTTTCCTAACTGGCTAGCTGATATACAAGCTAAGTGGTCTGTCAGTAGGCCTCTCAAGTCCAGCCTAACACAGCTTGCTTTTTAACTTGCAGACCCAACCGGCAGCTTGGTGAGCATAAGTGACCTAAGGGCTGTTTTTTCATGCTTCTGTTGAGAGAATGCAGTATCTGGGAAATCTTTTTTGTTATCAAACTTGAGTTGGGTTCACAGTTCTTCAGGGTGCCTGACAGACAATGAGACTGCATAAACTTTGTTTCTTTATGAAACCCAGAAAAAAAGGCTATTGAATTTATGAATATTTGTGCAAAATTAATAACTAAACGAGTCATGGATGATAACAAATTGATTTTATATAGCTTGCATTAATGTCAGTAAGTTTTCTTTAGTATTCAATCAGATCTAGTAATGCTTTAGTCATCAAATTGCAAAGTGGTTTGTGGGTTGCAGTTTGCAAAACCTTTTCAAAGTAAGTGTTACTTCCCTTTAGTTTGCTTCTTGCCATTGTTAGAGCTCAGCGTTGTACTTAATCTTGCTGATGATGGTGATTGCATGTAGAGACATTACATGCATGTTAAGACTTTAATATTAGTTGTAGTATAACTCCTAGAGACAAGCCTTAATCACTTCTGAAGTAGTTCACTTCTCCTGTCAGCAACTATGCTCCCTCTGATGCTCTCACTCTCTGCTCACTAACTGGGGTAGAATACAATTTCTCAGTTTCTGTGGATGCCCATGGTATTATTCACTGCACTGCAGCAAAATACCAACATCAGTATCTTCTCCAAAAAGAAAGGAAAAAAAAAAAAAAAACAGCACCGAAGCACAAACTAACAGTTTTGCATTTTTAAAGAACTATCTGTTAATTCCACATAAAGTGTCAAAAAGAAGGGGCCACTAGAGGGAAGTAAATCCAATATGCTCAAAGAAAATAAAATGCTAGCTCCTCAGCTACTGTAAATTCTTGTACCTAACAAGAATGGTTTGTATTTAGAAGAGCTAAATATATTGTTCCATATTCTTAACAAAGATAAAATAATTGAAGAAAACAATTTATATAGAGAGAGATCTATCAGCATGTAATGTGTATAGCAAAAAATATTACAACAGTATGTATGAAAAGATTCATATAAAAGAAAAATATGAACATAGGATAAATAAGTTGTCATGGTATAATTCATTATAGGTCTAGATTTTTCAAATTAGCCACATCAAAAGGAAAAAAAAATGTTTTAAGTGTGGACTTTTGGTAATGTAGTACCTGCCCACACTAAGACATTTTTGGTTTGTTGTCACTTCATGTCTATAATCTTGTATCTTTCATTTATACGAACATGCGTATGATCTTGCAGCATCAGGCAATAAGTAGCGTCCATTTCAGGATAATTAAGATTAGAAGGAAAGATTGCAACAGTGAGCTTGCTGCTTGGTGGTACAGCTGGAAAATATTTGCAATATAAAGGCAATTATTTAGTATTTTAGGTAAATATGGCATGAAAAATACTGTAAGTTGTTTAGTAGTATCTGGCTACCAATAAAATTAAAAAAAAAAAAAGTCATAAATCCTTTTCTCAGAGAACTCCAGTGTGATTTATAAACATTAATAAAATCTCTGCAGTGGTCTGAAGCTTTAGTTCTACAGCTTTGTTTTCTCAGGTAAGATACCCTAACTTTCTTCATACTACCACTTTTTATTCATGACTAAAAGAAACTCACAAAAAAATGTTTATTTTCTTCTCAATTTCCATCAACCAAAACCCCATTAATTTTCTTCCAAAGACTATTCCATATGACACTATCTTTCTCTCTTTTTCATCTAAATATATAGTTACCATTTTTATGAATTTATGCAATGACACAGTTTTTAAGCCTACAAAAAATATTTTATCTTTATAACTGCATTTTATAGATGCCTCTATTTCATTTATTACAATGCTTCCCCCTGCAAAGCTGTCTTTTTATATCCAAATAAACATACTGATATTCTGGAAATCTGGTCTTAAATTCTCTCAAGCTCTTCCAATAGAATTTTTAGCAATGTAAGAATTATTATAGTGCAAGCAGCCTACACTCTAGACTTTACTGTCAGTGTGTCACAAATTATCAGCACATTGGTCTTTTCCCTGTTTTGAGTAAACTGTGGTGAAAATCTATATCCTTAAACCAGAAACAGACAGCAGCAAAAGATGTATTATTTTTTAAAAGCCCACCACTTAAATACAATTCACAGTGTGTTCAGACAGCTGTTGGCCAGTTTAAAAATAAACCATCTCTCTGGTGACCTCCACTTGTGCATGCTTACTGACTTGCATTTTGTACCATGTAACAAAACATCTGAAAGTAAGTATACCAAAGGGGTAGATTCTAGCAGCATGTTTTTCCTCTGATGAAAAAGCAATAGTGAGGTACAGGTTCAACGTGTGATGCATAGCCCGAGAGCTTAAGACAATTCTCATTGCAAGGAACATATCATTAAGTATCTTATATAATCATCTGTTCTGTTACTATCATCACATTAAAGATAAGTGAGCAGTTTTCATTGTTTTCCCAAACCATTTTCAAGAATATTATTAGAATTACCATCATTGTCATTATCATCATCATCACAGCAAGCTGTTAATTTTGGCATGCCCAAAGGCGAGTAAGTCATTACTTAACTCATCAACAAAACTGTTTGTCCCAGATACACAGGTAAGCAGATTTTTGCTAGGCTAATCAACGAAAAAACCCAGGGCCTTCCTACAAGTGGAACATAACAGGATCCTCCTGAACATTAGCACTTTTACTAATTACTTTTATACGACCAAAGGTTTTGGTACTCAAAATCCTAGTTTTGCCAGTTCAGCTCCTGTCCTACATTAAACACTTCGGCTACAGTTGCAATGTCACTGCACAGTAGGTGAAAAACATTTCTGGAACAAAAGTCAGCAAGGGATAATTTTGAAATAACCTTCTGATCTACAGTAGCACAAGCCAGAAGATAACACTGCTATACAGATTGCTTTGTTGGTAACCTATGATGCTTTTTGCTGGCATAGTAAGTATTTCTATAGATGGAAGAGGAAAAATGTGCAGAAAAAAACTACAGAGCTCTTTCCGTTACCCATGTTTCTCATAAAGGACCGCGCTAAACATGAATCTGAACTGAAATGGTGTGTGGGGGAATCTCAAAAATGATAACACGAAGTTGACAATTAAAGTCACAAAAAATCCATTATGATATCTCACCTGAGGAAATGGCTTATACAGATGCTGAAACATCTTAGAGTAAATCATGCTGTATTAGTACTACGAAACATGGATACTAAAGGAAATGAATTCACTTTCATTTCACCTTTAAACTATGAAATTGGTGGGTAATGTGGTGCTTTAGTCTTTCAAAACTGAAATTGTAAGGGAAGACTTGGAAGAACATCAGACACAGACTCCAGTTGTGACAAACCACAGGTAGGCTCAGGTTGTGTTAAAGTATGCACTTCATTTAAACAGGAAGACACATTAAGCAAAGATGTGGTTTTGTGCCCTGTGTTTTGGGGTCAAGGGCCAACTGACAAAAGCATTCAGTGGCCTCATCGGCAGAAACTGAAAGTCCTCACGCATTAAAATGCATAACAATCTGCAAGGCATCCTCACTCACTGACCCAGACTTCCAAGAAGCAAAATGATACCCATAAAAAGTGCACGAATGACAGGGGCACAGTAACACATGCGCGGTGGTGAGACTTACCATCTTGGTCTGTGGTAACTGTGATAGCTGTGAACTGCTTGGGGGAGAAACTCAGCTCCGAGACGCCGTTTGTGGCCTCAATTTCGAAGGTGTAGTTGACATGTGACACAAAGTCCAGCACCGTCACGGAGGAGTTGATGAGACCTGTGTGCCTGGGGATGAAGCGGATGCCTCCCCCACATATCTCACACTGGCTGGCATCCGACCCGCATTTCTTACAGATGACACTGTAAGTGAGGTCTTTTCTTCCTCCCGTATCACTTGGGGGGCTCCATTCCAACATGAGAGCTGTTTCATTAATGTTAAAAATCACAGTTCCTGGGAGCAGAAGGTGGCCCTGCAAAGAAGGAGGGGGAAAGCCTGTTAAGCGTCTGTTGTCTGCTTTGGAGGCAAAACCACCCAAAAATATAATATTAATCTTAAGGCAATTATTTGCAAGAAGTTGAAAAGATTATGTTTGAATTGTGAATTCAATTGAAAAACTTAAAATTATCTAAATAATTTAAATCCTTGAAAATTAAACAGGAAGGATAAACATGTAAGATCATAAGAAGCTGAAAACTCTAAATGAATTAGAATTAATTCAGAAATAATTTAAGACAACATATAAATTACTTGAGAAGGTCCAAGCTAGACCTGATAACCTAAATTTGCACAAATACTTTTTGACTTGTGGGGTACTGGGGTAGAGCTGTAGAGTTCCAACCACAGAATTTATTTCCTTATGTTTTGCCTAGTAAGGTAGGCTTTTCTGATACTTATGATCCTCTATGTCTTAGAAGAGTTAAACTGAGTAAGTAAATAAATGACAGCTTTGGAATAACTACAGGAAGCGAAGTTGTTTGTATTAATTCTTTAGTACCACATATTTTTTCTATCCTTCGCTGCTATTATCCTGGGGGATTTCTTTGCTGCTACTCATTAACAGAGCTGGGTAGCAACAGGCTAAGAGTATTAGGCACAAGAGACAGTTTACATGTTTTTTATCCCTGCCCGGCACCTAATCACCATCAGTTTAACAGCAAAGACATCCCACTTACAAGCTAAAGATCTAAAGGGATGGTTGCAAAACAGGAGAAAAAATAGTTCCTGAAGACCACAGGGAGGAGGAATGCAGAAGTACTAGCAACAGGCAGAATATAGGAAACCTCTTAGCTAGCCAACAAGTGGTACAGCTGTCTGTGTACAGTTGGAGGAACCACAAGTGATCCATTTCCAGTGGATCCCACAATAGCCAAGGGACACCAAGCAAGTTTTAAGCTGTTATGCTGATTTTCTGTGTATCACCACAAGTAAATCACCTGAGACTTTGCATATTCAGACAGGAATTAGTGAAGGGATGAAGGTGGAAACTGTTAGAGGAACTCTAAATAATCTTATCTCTACTTAGCATATTCTTCTTTTTAGAGCTAGCGTATTTCAACCAAACACAAACACACAGCTTTCAAAACAAATTGTATGTAAAACAAAAAAGTGCCCATAAAAATTAGGCAAGAAACATGGATCTGGCAAAACGCAAAGCCTTATACTCCAGGTTTTGATCTATGTAAAATGACTGTGCTAAACTTAACGGGTGAACTCTGGGCTTATGGTGAGCTGAATGAACATTACATTCCCAGCTCTCATCAGAAAATCACAACGCACTAGGATGGTTTAGTCAGTGGTTAGTAGAGCTTTGAAAACTTTAAGCTTGCTTTACAGCTTTTCATGATTTATATAACCTGCCATCAAGACTTAGCTATGAAGTTTTGAATGGTTAAACTTTACATTAGAAAGGAAAAAAAAAAAAAATCAAAGCTCCTTCTGACATTTCATATATAAACCAGGACCTCAAATCCCATTCCCCCACCTCAAAAAAAAGTTATATTATTTTTTCCTAGTAATTTAATTCCATTATTTTACTTTTTTTTTTTTTTTTCCTTAATAGTACCAATTACTACAGCACTGATATGCGGATGGAATTTTCAAACTTTAAGCTGTATTTATCTGAACAAAAATGTTGTGAGATTTAAAAAATCAAGCCCCTGAGTAGCTTTGAAATATGTACCTACTGAAGTAAGTCTATTTACTCAAGTCCTTATTTCTTGAAGATGACCCAGGATACTAAAATGGACTATACCTTAACAGAAAACATTACTTCATCTTATATTTTACTAAAAAACCATAAACATCTATACAACTGTACCTACACGTTGCATCAAAAAGAAATACTAACTTTAATGAAGGAAAGAAACAATAATAGTTGCAGAAGAAAAGTCACTGCTCGGCTCACCAAAGTTTATAGTTTTAAGTGATGGTATTTGTTTACTTATACAGTGTTAAATGTATCTATAAAAGCTGTAATGCTTGTAAAGGAAAAAAAAAAAGTTTGTATGGCACAGGAGGGATCATGTGAACCAATAAATGTTAAGGTTTTTTGTGAATTGTAGTTGAACATTTGAGTTCCTTTTTTCTTTCTGATATTTTTTGTAACGTTAAACAGCTGAGGCTATGGTTTTATTAGAATGATTTTTGCCCTAAGGTGAATGATGAGTTGGCTACTAGATTTCAAGCACTTGATAATTAAAATACTTGGAGCTACTACGTTTGCATTTTTTTCAGTGGACAAGAAGGATTAAAATATTTTGAATGTGAGAGTATTTATGTATCTATCTGCACAGAGTTTATGGTTAGCAGCCAAAAAGCCCCTGACAGTGAAAAGCAGTTATTGCTTGGAGTATCAAGGAGTCATTTAGCTGAATGGTATGTGACTTATTTGTACTGAATGAAGATCAGTATTTCTGGAACCTGGCAGAGGAAAATTATTTTTGTAGTTTGCAGTTTTTACAGTTCCAGAGAATATTTTGAGTATATCCTTCCTGGCTTTTGAGTGTGACCTTGTGATAAGTCTAACATTGTAGCATTAGACATACTGTAATATGTAAGTATTTACAAATGCAACTTGTTAACAACTGCTATTTATATTGATGCATTATTTGCCAATGGTGTGGAAAGCAGAGACAAGGTACAGCCTTGAAGATGCTGAGTTGGTAGAAAAAAGCCTCTATAACCTTAGTGTCTCAGATTCATAGATCTCTTAACTTCCCATGAAATTACTGTGACACCGGTGGTTGTAGCTACTCTGGAAAACAGTTCTCCAACTGAAATAAGCTAAAACCAGCACAGATTACTTCAGCTTCAGTTCTTAGTAATTATGTGCAGAAGAAAGGAATAATTGTGCTTCACCCAAAAACATTCTGTGAGAATTAAATAATGACTGGTCTTAACAAATTCCCACTGTTAAAACCAATAAGGAGTTTTAGGAATACGGAAGAAGATCCTTAATCACGCTTACATATGTGCATAACTTTAAGCGGATCAGTTATCCCCTTGAAATAATTGGTAATATTCATGCACTTAAAATTAAGCATGTGTGTAATCACTCATAGGACTGGAGCCAATGTTTTAAAACTGGTTCAAATCTAATCTTACATAAACTACAGATACTATGACAATGGGTTATCACAGCTTAGTTTTTGTATGTCCCTTCAATAAGTTTGGCATGCTAAAACATAGGAATTAATGTGTATCCAGGCACTAAGAGAGCTTTTTCTTTTGCCTGGATTTGTCTATCTTAATGTGTTTAGTTTGTAGTTCTGTGTAGATAGTATCAGCCAAAGAGCCAATATGGTAGATAAAATAACTTTTTTAGCCATATACTGTAAAGTGAAGGTTGTTATATTTATGATTTGGGATTTAACTCTCATTTATAAGAGAAAACACGAATTATTGTACATTCATATTTCAATGAATAAGGAGAAGATTATCTGTTATGTTAGGGATGTCTGAAAGTATATGACTGTCCGCCTGCAAGTACTGAAAAAACCCTCAGACACCCTTCATACTCAAGGCCCCTCATGCCAATTTGCATGACGATTAAATAGCTTTTTAATTGCTGTTAAATTATGCCAGTTAAACTGTGATTTCATGCAAATATTAAGCTGTAATGACATGCAGTGAATCATTTACTAAGATTTAGAACTTGGAACAAAGAGAGACAATTAATTCTAATCCTCAGATTCAGCTAAATTATGTGTCACTGGGCTTTTATGGATGTGGCCCGATTGCTTTGTTATCATTTATAAATTACACAAAGATTATTTGACACATCAAAAAAACTTGGCAGCAATAACCCTTCTGCAGACATCTGTGTGCAAGGCTCTCAGGGATTTCCTCATATTGTTTTTAAGGAAACCAAGTACATTGGTGAAAATGATGGATCCTTTTCTCACAGCAAAATTCATGACTTTGGATTTTATGCAGAAGAGTAAAACAGTTCAGATGGATGAGCATTACTAAAAATGAAGCTCTTCTGCTTTTTAGATAAAACACAGCCTGAGTGTGAGCAATGCCTTTTGCTTCATTTGCGAATTATAATGAAACAAGTATTTCTACACCCTCTGTGGAGTAGACTGGCACTGATCTCTTATGGAAAATCAGGCTTACTCCAAGAGCATCACAGCTGAGTTTATGCCTCATGCTGTGCTTCGCACCTCGCCTAGCTGCTTTGTGTATGCTCTCCATCTATGAAAGTGAAGTGCATTTTGCCCTTTGTGGAAGGAAGGAGGAGCAATCCAAATGCTGCAGAAGTCTGGTGAGGACAGTGCAGTATTTTACATAATACAGGGCAATGACTGTCTGGAAAATATTTTTTTTCTTTTTTTTTTTTCTTTTAAGCGAGAACTGTCTGTTACCAACTACTACACTGCCATAGTTGTGTATTACTTGACAACTGAATTCACAGCAGAAGTGGCAGAAATTAATCATCATCTCATGAGAATACTCAGAATCACCATCTACCTGTGTCCCTTGAGTTCATAATTGCTTTTTTATATTCATACATACATATATGCAGCATAGATTAGTGACACCTGATGTGGAATGCTGTATTACATTTTTGCTTTTTCAGAATCATTTATTCTTTTCTCAATGAGGCAGGCAGGAAGAATTTCCTCATGACAGGAACTGGTGACTGCAAACCAATACTCCAAGTCTGAGCATAATGATAAATTACAAACAAATATATATATACACACACACACAAATAGCAATAGAAGCAGTACAGTCAAAGGCTTCGAGCCTGTTGCTTGATTTTGCTGTTGGAACACAGTGGTTGCTCTTAAAAAGTTTCAGTATGGAGGATACAGTTTGTGCCAAAGGTTTCTGAACAGAACATAAGTTTGTTGGCTCAAAATTGTTTAAGCATAACATGAGAATAGATGCATTCGTACTCAGACTCAACGAAAGACTGCCTGCCTTTGACCTTGAAAGATAGATCAATTTATTCAATTACATTATAGTGGGAAATGTTAGTTTATGCACAGAGTAATCAGACAGGGAAGAAGATATGCTGTTATTTGTTGCTCACTGTGTGTGTGGAGAGATCACTGATAGATTACTCACATATGGCAAAGAAATACAATAAGGAGAAAGAGCAGAAGCAAGAGATTGATAACAAGTGCCAATTAAATGGAAAAAGGCTATGAGAAAGTAATTAACAATATATCCCAATGTAATTTTCTTTTCCTCTCATTAAAATTAGAATTCTACTATGCTTTCTATGAAGTGTATACTCTTCTTTTATAAAATACAGTTTCATGAAGTAAAAATGGGAACTGTACAATCTTGGGAAAATATACAGTATGCACTTTCACAGAATTAATGAAATTAGATTCAAAGCTCAGCTTGAAAAAATGGATGCCTGAAGCTAAACTCTTCAATTCATAGTCTCTTGGATCAAGGTCCTTATTCTCCATATTGCTATTCATGCAAGTTTTCCAGAACCAAGGAAAAATTCTGGAGTGAGAAATCCTTCCTAACCCTATACAGGAATGAAGAGAGAGAGAATAAAATATCTACCTATTTTAGGCATATTGCTTTTCAGGACGCGAGGAAGCAAATAAAATAGGTTTGAATGTAGTCGGTTTAAAATATTTTAAAATGAAGAGGTTTGTAAAGAGAATCCATTAGTAAATGTGTTTGATTCAAGAACAACTCGTTTGAAAAGTCACAAGAAAAATTTCTAATCTCTTATCTTGTCTCATATGTCAGGATAAAAATTTGCAAATTGACATCAAAAATAGAGACCTGTCCCAAAAGTGTTTATGTAGAAAAGGCATATTCTTACTGTGCAGCCTTTTCTCTTTGTGTCGTCAAATTGGCTCACTTTTTTTTTCTAACTTTCAAGCTCCTTTTATTACGGTAAAGCATGACAGTTTGGAAGAAACATGCTAAATTCTACCCTGTCTCATACATCACCAATATCTTTGTTTATTAAATTTAAATTAGCCACATCTGCACAGACCCACCGAAGGCAGTGAAGTTGTATTTATGACAGAAACATAATTTTAATAACCGAGAGCATAATTTGAAAGCAGTGGGGCTAAAGATACTGGTTAGGGAATAATTTAGCCTGCAGACTCTTCATTACTGATGATATGCAAGAAGATAAGAACACAGTCTGCCTGTCAGAATCTTAGTGTCATTTCCAGAGCTGACAATTAGTGAAATAATCATCATTGTAGGTATAAGATGAATACATCTGCTATTAAAGTCCGTGAAATACTGATACCTTGCAATCTAGGTTGAATAAGAGGCAATCTGTGGTGGCAGTGAACCAAGAAAAAGGAAGAAACCAGAATGTGGTTCACGGTCTCCCTTATTTGTTATTTCTCCAAATCTGAGGTGAGATGGGGCACTGGTACTGCTGTTGTGGTTGATTTCTTCCCTACACCCACTTATTCGGTTGCTCTGGCTGATATCCTCAGCAGGAATAGAGTGGTCTGGAAGCAAATCTCTCCCGACAACTGTCAGCCAAAGCAGCTTTCAGCATCCCAGTTTTGTTGGGGAAAAGGGAGCAGGACCAGGGTGCTGTAGGCACCCTGGCTCTCGTGTTCCTCCTTACCGTATCAATACTGGTGGGTAGCTGGGCTTAAAATTGTGCCCTGAAAGATAACTAGGGGAACATAATGCCATGTATGAGCAATTTTTCAGAAAACCATCTTTTGGAAATGAAAAATCAATGGCATAAGTAATGTGGTACCACATCTGCATAATGTATGAGTGAAACCATCTTAATAAGCATGAAACTGTCAAGAGTGCCTGCGATGTGCGTTAGCTCTGTGGGTAAGTTTTCATAGCCTATGCTCAGGGCACTCATTTGAGTGGAATTGTTTGTAATCAACATTTTCCTTTGGGAAGTCTGAAACAACATTTTTCTCCCCTCACACATTCTGTAAAAAATGACAGACCTACACGCCTCACTCCAGAGGGAGCTGACAGCAGATTATGTTACTTGGTTTGAGGTGCTTCTTGAACCCACGTCCCTCAAGCAGCTGGAGGCTGGGATGTACCCTTCACCTCTGAATGCCCTATGGCTAGATTGGACAACTTTCTGAGAAGTGCCTTGGATCTGATCAATGTTGCTTTTGGTGAAGATCACTCCCACTCAACGGACATGAAATGGCTTGGCCTACGTAATGACCTGAGGATTACAGAACACCTATAACTTTGTCAATCAGCTTCAAATTACCTGGTATATTCCCAGTTTACCCAGTGTAGTGCCACATGGAGAGACTAGCATGAACACGGGAAGTACTTCAATTCTGCTACTGTCAGCTCAGTTACTTTTACATCATTAGTCATACCAAAAATTGACTATGCACTGCTAACTACTGCAATAGTACTTTGGCTTTAATTTTTATCTGAGGAGAGTATGAAATACCCGTGTTTTGTTTTTTGTTTTTTTTTTTTTATTCATATGCAGCCGCAGTTTTTTGCAAGTTTTTGTGCAAGAATATTTTAAAGTCCTTAAAATACATATGAATAATTAAAATTCAACATTGCTATCTACATAACAATGATTACATACCTTACATTATCCCTCAGAACTACAGGTTAATAAGTCATTAATGTAAGAAACATGGCAGTATTTTTAGGGATATAACTAAACAGAAAACTGCTTGAAATTTAATCGAGAAATTTCTTTTGGTAATTTTTAACAGGATTATTCAGAAAATGTACAATTTCATGTCATTTTTAAATAAAAAAAATGCATAAATGAGTCACAGAACTGCAGACACTGGTAGTGATCAGACTTACGGGTACATGCCATAGTTGGTGGGTCTTTCTCAGCTCTGAAGTAACCTTTCTCACACTGACACACAGAGGTTGCTTCAACATAGGTCAAACTATGTGGAGGGCACTTGGAACACTTTACATTTCCAGCAAATGCTTTATAGAATCCAGGCCTGCAAGCTGCAAAACAAGAAAATAATTTTTTATTAATAGCAGCAAATTTTGGTCGTAAGTAAAATCTGTTCCATGCAGTTATAATGCACTGTCTTTTCTTTCCAACCTAGATATATATGCTATTCTGATCACATAATGCTTCACAGTTTTTATTTTGGCATATGGACTTAAAAAATATATGTATGTTCTTGATGTCTGATGGGTAAACATTAAAAGAGACAACTTCCTAATAGACAGCCATCACTGCTGCTTGAAACTGTTATCTAGGAAACTTCACTAGTATCAAGTAAACACAAGCTCACTGTCTATGTTTTATGTAGGATCCATATATTAATAACACTAAAGAATGGGATAACTTCGTATCTACCAATGCTATTTATATGGCTTCCTTATTTAAGTAGTAGAGACTTTTAAGGCTCAATGTGCTTCTCCTCACAATGCCTTGATGAGACAGGAATGACATCCCTGTATTTGCAGATGGGCCTGACCTGCCCAGAGTCTCCCGAGAAGCCTCTGACAGCAGGGTCAATTAGTTGAGTCCTTTGCACTGTGTTGGAATGAGGGCTGGGAGGCACTGCTCTAATAACCTTTGGAGATGTAGGACAGAGGTGTCAATACCCTCTAGCACAAACTACAGAAAGCCTGAGGCTACTCTTAATTGTGTCAAGAAACAACCCAGGATAGCAGCTGCTGTGGGGACGGGAGATGCTGCAGCAGTCAGAGCCCACCGCCCACCCAGTTGGAGCAGGAATCCCAGCAGTTCTTCATCACAGCTGAACCTTAAAAGCCTTTCTGCTGACCTTTAAAGCAGAAACAATTATTTAAAATAAATGTTATCATAAATATGCCTGGTTCGCATTCTGAAATATTATTTTAAAACTGTTCTCAGCCTTTAGCACACAAGTTTAGACAGAGATTTCTTTTTTTCTCCTGCCAACTACATTCATACATGCCAGTACGAATTACAGGTACTGTCTTCTGGATTCTCAATCAGCAAACAGAACTGAAACAAATGAAAGAGCAACTCTAACACGTATGGACTGCATAGGCTCATATTCCTTCCGACTCCTTCACCAGTACAATGGAAGCCATTGGTATACATATTTCAAAGACCCATGTGGCTTTTTCTCATTTTGACATATTCAAGACTGTATTCTTTATATTGCTACAGGAACTAGGCAGTATTTCCTTCCCTTGCAGTAAGACAAAATAACAATATTAGAATGCAGTGTTCGATAAATAAGTACCAAGATTTATGAATTTCATGGGTTCACTGTCAGTTCAAATTAAGTGAATTATTAAAGGCATTAACTTACAGATAACATATACACAGATCAGTTTTGCTTCCGATTCCAAAGCACCCACTTGATACGAAAGCTGTTTCATTAGTGTCTGAGGGAAAAGGGAGTGTGTGGGACTAAAAAAGGTAGCACTTGATTACCCATCAGAATGCAGGAGCCATTTTTTCAGATGTAATTTTAAGAGCTTAATTTTGACCCAACAATTTCAGCAGTTCTCCCAGTGTGTTCTTCTGACTTTGCTGAATAGGTATTAGGAAGGAATCCTGCCCTGCTGTCACTGAAGAAAAAATATAAGTATTTCTGGTGCTAGAGATAAGAGAGGTGGGAACAGCAGGGGATTTCCCTTTAAAAGGCTGCTGGTCTGATACCACCGTGATTACAGTCAGTGGCAATTTTCTACTGATTGGAATGACAGCAGGTTTGGTACTAGGAAGACAGCAGCATTGTAGACATAGGCGGTAGATGCTGACTCCTCTCAGCTTTGCTGGGAGGAAGGAAGAGAGGAGGTAAGGTGAAATGTGGGAAGGGTGTTATGAATGCCTGCTCCTTTTTTACTCATGTCCAAATCCTGCCAGGCCTTAGCTGAAGATTAATATTAAATTCTTGCTTTTAATAGCTACCTTTCATACATACAGTACCACAACAAAGAAGTTTGTGATTAAAGAGGTGGCAATTCTAGGCTACCTTTTCACTCACAGCAAAATGAGTGCTCTTTAAAATCCTTACTACTTCCAATTTTTTTTTTCCTGTCAGTTCTCAAATCACTCCTTTCCTTCTGTCCCCCAAATGACAAACCAGTTTAGATCAAAAGAAACACAGCAGTCCTATTCAAGAAAAATATTTTGTTTAAACTTCAAGCTGTTCATTATTCAAAAATAAAACTCGAGGAGAACATGATTTATTTCCAATTAAGAAAAAAAAAAGTAAATGTTTTATTCTGAAATGGCATTCTGGAGTATATTTAAAGCCTTTATGGTTTCAATATGGTTGGATTTTTTATTTATTTTTGTCTTATATATATACTCATGAAAATGCTGGGGAAAAATGGGTGAAGATGTTGATAGTCTACTTTTACTGGAGCCAACACAAATGCACGCACCTTTATGTCAGATAAACTCCTCACATTCTAAAGCCAAAGATATCAGGACAGCTTTGGTACAGTTAAGTTTACAAAGCTACTGACAATCCTCCCCCATCCAAATGTAGAGTAAAACAATTACAATTACTGGATACTTTTAAATAAAATCCAGCCCTTCATAAACATACTAACACATGCTGAGAGCCCCCAAATGATCACAAGTTTTGGATAACCTCAGCTCCTGGGATAACTTGGTGCTGACTGCCAACATTCAAGGTGAAACTGTTCCTCTGTAAAGATCACTGAATATGCAGCACAGGATTGAAATACAGCACTTCAGCTTCCATACAATATCAAAGCCTATACTCTACTAACAAATATTATGCTTCAATGTCTGAATTTCAACTTCAGAAAGAAGCAATTTACCATTGCCTTTCAAAAACTAGCAAACACTAAATTTCCTACCCAAGTTTTTAAAAGCTAATTTACCAAATGTCCCAACCATTGTAATTTCAGAGACATGCATGCATCTCATCTTTAGAGACTAGGGTGGTGCTTAGTCCAAAACACGGACAGAAGAATTTGTGAACAAGCTTATTTCAGAGAAAAACAACAACCAATAACATGAAAATTTGCCACAGTATCTGTTCAGGTAATAAGCAAGCAAGGTCATCACAGGCTGTTAATTTGCAACCTCAATTCCTAAGGAATTCCTCCTGAACATGAAACATGTCTAATAGCGTGTTTTAAGGGCTATGATTTCTTCTAACCTGTGAGTTAGACTTTGGCAGACTTCTGTCATGCCTGTTTATGCCCTGATAGGTACCACCAAACCAGCACAAACAGAGTACAGCTTTACACTGCTCATGGTCTGTACAGAACCATGTCTGCTCACTGTGAAGAAAAGAAGAATCTCCTTATTACTTCTTTGGCATATCAAACAGGACTGAGGATGGTTTGGCCTCCACTGTGGAGCTTCAGGCTGTGTAAGACCACTGCCAACTGTAGCTCAAAGCAATTCCAATCAAAACTTATAGGAAAATTGTACAAAGAATCAATGGTATATGCACTCCACTGTAATTTCCAATTTGTATAACGTTTTTTAGAACTGGGGTTTGCAAATGTTCTGCTATGAGATCACAGATTGCGTTACTGCATGCAGCAAGTCACTGTGACTGCAGCTTGTGGTATCAAACCATACACAGGTGCTAGACGTATTCAACTTAGAGAGTCCCTAAACCACATGAAAGCTAAAATAAGGATTAGTATATGACTCTGTAAAGAGCATAATCAACAGAATTACCTGTATGCTTAACTTTAACTGAGTTCCTTAATGAAGCAGGATCTTGGCTTTTGCCCAGCTTCCTATCCTCTTTGTTGCTTACTGATCTGTGGCAGTTCCAGCTCCACAGAACTCAGTGCACAAACTGCCTGATGGGCAAATCGGAAACTCAGGCACTTCATTATGAATAGGTTGTTGCTTTGTATTTGGAGAAGGAAAAAGGTCATCTTTCCCACTCAAAATCACACGTAAAATACATTACAAGTAAGTTAAAAGTTTGTTCTGGATGCTTATGTATGCAGGAATTTTCATTTTGTATGGGTTGATAAATTAGTACTTTCAAAATGTTTCTCATTATAACATTTCCTTCATTCAGCTAGCAGTTATTGTATCCATCATTTGCACAAATTATTTGTGCACTGATGACTTAAAAAAAAAAAAGTTTGTATTTGTTTGTTATCACACAGCATTTTTTTCTAACTTTTTAATCACTGGGAGGCATCTTATTTTCCCTGACTTTATCCAACAGAAGTGACTTTGTGAGCTACTAATTATATGAACTGTATAAGATTTGACTTTTGTAAAGCCTGGGGGATGATAATAAAATATTGCCTTAATGGTTAAGTAATTAGCAGGGTGTCTGAATGAACAATTCAAAGACACTAAAGTTTTCTCCAATGAAATACCAGGGATCATGCAGAGAAGCACTGATAATTTAATTGGCTTCACAAATGATAACATGTCTACAAAAGTGCTTTACTGTAGCTTTATCATGATTTGACTAGTGTTTTTAAGCTGTAGAAACTTTTTAATTAATATAATTTTCCTTATTTAATGTTTAATATATGACATTTAGGTTTGTTTGTATTACACACAGATGCATATGAAAAGATCTTAACACTTTACAAAGCTCTGGTGAACTCTTAAAGATACTGATTCATGACTTGCTAGTTTCCAGCTTGGGCACAGAGTAGGGAGAAGGCATTTAAGAAGCAGCTGCAAAAGAGTTTTAGCACTGTTGAAGCTATGTGCAGAGGTGCTGAAAGAGACTGTAAAAGCTTTTGAGGTGCATTGTGCACCAGAGCCCGAAGTTAATACTTATTGCTTAAAATGAGATAAGATCTCCACTGTTCCCAGCAGTGTTCCCAGTGTAGTTGTGTCTGTTTCCCACAAGGACTTGGGTGCATGCAGTGCATGGCTTGTGGCCATAACCACAGCAAAGGGTAATGTGCCACAGTAAAGTGCCTCTCCCCACAAAGACTTTGGCTGCGGGGCCTTGGTGCCAGCTCAGAGCCAGTGCAGCTGAAGGTGGCCCCATCCCACTGGGGCCGTGGTTAGAGGCTTC